ACCTTCTGACATGTGATAAATGTTGAGTTGATTGGTAAACTCTATATTATGCCATACCGCAGTAATAGTAGTACTTTCTAAGGAATGGACTAATTTTTGTAACAACTAGTTCTTAAATTATAAACAGTAATGAAGATAATGAGCATTTAACTTTATTATACTGAAAGTAAATTATAATACAAAATTGCATGACTGACTCACTACTTAACAGGATGCAAAGAAAATACTAATAATTTTAAAATAAAGAACATCTGTATCTTTTGCTGCAAAGTTGTTCAGTTTTCTGTGACCAAAGTTTATATGGTTCCAAACTGAAAATGGCAACCACAGAGGAACAAATTTAGAAACAATAGGTATAATCAATGTTACTTCTACTTAGTGCTGGGTTCTTTTCCATTCAAGTCCATAGACTAGTTATTTTCAAGCCTGAAATGCAAACTGTATTACTTCGTGATGAGATGTCAAAATAACCAATTTTAATAATTCCCTATAAGAAGCAGATTTATTCAACTATGTGTGTTTTCCTGTTGCTTGTGTGAAATGTATTGTGTAATTTACTTTTACACTTCTAACAAGAAACTCAGGGCTCATGTTAATGAATATGAATAACACCTACAAATCATAAATCACTCCGTCCAATGTGACCTGTAAGTTTTTTACTGCATAAAAACTTAACAGTGAAAACAGCACAACAACCACGAGCAAACCCTGGATGATATAAAGAACCTCCACTTCAAGATAGCCAGGTGGCACAATATCTGCCCCATATAAGAGAGACGATTGGAGGACGAACATGAGCCTGCATGGTTTACGAATTTTAATCATTGACAATCTAAATACTTTTAATTAGCATCAAGGAATCTTATACATTTTTAAAACTTACATTCCCGGGAAATTGCTGTGTTTGTGAAACTTTCTATTCTGTGTACTGTGTGTTGTAACATATAAGTGTACATACTTTCCGTGTAAACAAATTATGTGATAGTGGTTTCCTATTTGTAGTGATGTTTGCCCTCTGAAGATGGTCCACAGAGACTGAAACATGTAAGGGTGTTAAGTTTCTATGTAGTAAAAAACTTACAGGTCACATTGGACGGAGTGATTTATGATTTGTAATTGTTATTGTGATGGACCAGAATGAAACAAATCAAACTCATGAATAACACCATTTATTTCACTTTAATCTTGGCCTTTTTTTCATGTAACATATCTCTAAAAATGTGGATCCAGGGAAATATTTCAGTTAGAGTACCATTAGCAAAAGAAAATCTAGTTGGATTATAAAAGACTCCCATTTGTACCTGGCATAAATAAGTATATCACACTTATTTTATTTACTCCATATACTGTTGAAAGTTCTGTAACTATCATTTGTAGTGAATAATATTTCATCATATTCACTCTATAAATCTCATTCAGAATTTGTAAATAATGTAAGCTTATTACTAGACTTTATGAGTGTTGTAATGGGGCATTATTGGAGACCTACTGTTTCTGACATTTTACATTTCAGTACAGCTTACAGTAACAGTGTGAGTTCACAAACCATAATTGTTTAATGGTTTATCAGAGTCTGGAATCACAATGTCTTCTTGCCTGGATGGGAAACAGACAGGATTAAATAGTGTGCTATTCACCTTTCTGATAAATAATTATGAAGATATCCCAACTGACTTTTGAAAAGCAACCAGTTTATACTGTATTTCAGTTTAGTGCCTTCTAACATGCAAATGATCTTGAAATCTTGGTCTTCGGGGTTAAGACACCAGGTAGTACTGTGATTAAAACCTATATTTCAGAGGTCCATACTCCCTCCAATTAGAATTTATATTGGTAACATTCATAAGGAAGCAACATTGAAGGACTCATCCATCTACAATTTCGCTGTGTAACTGAACAAGCTAGTCTAGAAGTAACACTCCAGCATTTTTGGAGGTGTCAGTGATTTTCATTAATCCCCCCACTTAAATGACAGGATGGTACCTCGTCTGGGTTACAACCAGTTCCAAACTTCTTTCCAGTTCAGCACACAGCCATCATGCTATCATCCAACACTATAATCACAATACCAAAAGCATAATCAAATTACCTATAAAAAAAGTCAACTCAAAAGACAACATCTGAAATCACCACCATGAAAACCTGAAAACTTATATTTTGGAGTCTCTGTTCACTGTAAATACTAAGTGCCATACATTTCAAGCACTTTACAACATATCAGACTTGGTGAATGACCAACTGGTGTACTCTGTCACACAAGTGAGCTGTTTGCATTTTATAATCAGATGTAGTAATGTATGACAATACATAATGTCAGCATATACTTAATAATATTCAAGGACCAAATCATCATCGCAACAGACTGGTGCAGACTCTGCATGACAGAATATCCATTACACAAAGCTCCATCATTGCAATACATACATCTGCTGGTCTTGGCCAATAACATTATATCATACAGTTCATCATTTATATTGTTTTTATTTCAAGTGCAGAAGAGATTAAATAAATATTTACTTCAGCTTACTAAGCTATGCTGTAGATAGCACATAATGTACACATTACAAATGAACTATGTAGTCACTGAAAAAGCACAAGTAAAAATATTTGTAATATGCTGTGTGGTATGCAGAAAGAATATTCAATGGAATAAAATGCTCCACATATTACCTGCATATTGGCCAACAATTTCTAGCCTCATTCCGTGTGTGGGAAAGCTGCTGAGACTCGTAACAGATGTTAGGGCGCATGTTTGACAATAATGTAGCACCCATAACAAGTTTTCAATTAGCCCATTTTTTCACACTTGTCATTTACAGATAGGGCAGAGGCAGCCTTCAATTAACCTTTCTTTTCACTTGTCATTCACAGAGAGCAGGGAGGCAGCCTATCATATAGCTAGTGTGTGGTAACTGTTTACTATAAAAAAAATAGATTCTTTATCTCCCCCGACCCTGATTTCCAGGAATATGGTGAGATGAAAAGACAATTCAAATTCAAAAAGGCCTCTCTATGTAAAGTACCAAGCCATTTAAATGCTTGCACAAGTGTAAAGTAGCAAAAGAATCTGACTCCATCCCTCCCTCCTGATCATCCGATTTAATAATGATTTATAGTCCATTGTCTAAATTTCCATATACACTAGACCATAAAAATTGTTTGCACATGTATATATGAACACAATTTGTAATACACATGTAACTTTTAATCTCAACTTCCAGGGGGAAAAATTAAGTTCTATAAACTTAAGATTTTTATAAATGAGCTTACTGTAACCATCCAGAAACACAGCTAATGATGTTACTTACACAATTAAGTTGTCCGGGAACACACAAGAAAATCAATAATAAAATAAAGTCTGGACACACACAAGACAACCTTTTTATATCAACACAAATTTATATCACTACCTGATTTGATACCCCTCAGAGCTTTACAACAAACAAAATCTGAACATCATATGTACTAACTGTGTAATGATAATGTCTTTCAAACTTAATGCATTTTGAATCTCACTACTGCTATGCTATTATAACAAAGTCATAGCACCATGCACACTTGTAGCAAAATTTAGTCCCTTTTTACTTCAGCTAGTTCCCAGATATCTTTTAGACAAAAATACTACTGTTAAAGAATTTCTTATAAACTGTGCACTCAATAAAGTTAAAATGGTATCCAAGATTCTTCTGTGATTATGTACTCATCAAGTTATATTCATTTATGAACAAACAAATTTAAGATCCCCCTCGTTGGTGTCTCCACCTTATCGTGGTGAGGGGGTTTGAGTATGCCAAGGACCCTGAGAGCTATACCAGCGGTAGCGTAGCTACTGGCAGGGCCTCCCTTGCTGGACAGGTCAAAGGGTAGGCATCAGACGAAGAGAGACACCAAAAACTGATGCCGGAAGCAGCGTCATCAGCAGCGACTTGAAGCACAGAGCAAATGATGCTCGAGATGGTTCAAGTTCGTATAGCAACAGGCGTGACCAGAGTGGTTTGAACGGCTGCTGTACTGCGATGTGGAAAGCAAATGGAAAAACTACCACATTATCACTTTTCCTGGATAGTCTCTTTCCAAAAACAGAAGATCGCATTAAGTGGAGGAACTGTTTTGGGAGAGACTGTGGACCTGTCGTCTGACAGATTACTATTGAATTGAATTGAAATTGAAATTTAAGATGTTAAAACCATAAAAACAGATACATCTGTACCTCACCTAACATTTTTGGTACTGACAGAATGTGAACATATAAAATTCCTTGATAGACACTGCTCCAAATTACAATATTACATTACAATTACAATATCAACATGGAAGGGTAGCTGTTAGATATAAATTGTTTTTAGAGATGAGTCAATTATCCAATGAATGAGCTTTCTATCAGCACGCTATGCTTATTATAGTTTTTAAACCATATTAATTTCAGTAACCAGAAAGCCATAGATATAATTCTGTAAACTTCATACCACATTAGCTCTTAAGATGATTACCCCTAATATACTTTATCTGCATGTTCAACAATTCAATACTTTGAAACAAAACTGTTTATAGATTGGATAGAGTTGCAGTCCATTTCTTGTTGACAATCAGACTTGGAATATTCTGTGCTAATAATCGAGATTTCATTGACACAGGCTTGTGGCAGCAAAGAAAAATTCAGTTTATGGATTCAGGAAATGTCTACCACTCCCAAACTAACACTGTGTTATTCAGACAATCAACCCAGCCCTATACTGAAACTGCATCAAATTTAAGGCAAATTTTTGCATGCAATATTAAACAGACATAGCCTATAATATATACTGGATTTTCCTGATGGGTCTTGCCACGTTATACATTTTCCCATCAGTACGGTATTATGATCTACAAGAGTCATGTAACTAAATTTCACATTCAGAGCTAAGTCTAGGTAAAAATATATAAATAGCACAGTCTGTTGCCGATATTCATTCTGACTTATGCTGCACTGTACAACAATGAACTACCTATGTTTTAGATGTCCCTGCAGGATCCATTTACAAGACAGGATTACTGAATTTCAGAGTTTATTCATGTGTGTATTTAGTTATGAGTCTTGCTTGACCATTGAAGCTGAGCAAATTGTGAAAGGCAAGCCTGAAGCAATAGGATCAAGCAATATACAGGTGATATCAATGCAAAAATATCATTGGTAAATATTTCAGATGTGCAACGCCTTGCAAGCAAACACAAGTCTGGTGGAAGAACTGTCTTGTTCCACATGATCCATGTACAACAAAAATGACAACTGTGTTTGGACAGTTAACTAAGCAATAAAAAATTCATATAACAGGCTCTCTTAAAAAATACTAAACATAAATTTGCACATAAACCCACTCATCATTTAACACTGATATCTGAAGCATCCAAAGCATCAGAAGCCTTTAATATTTTTATGAAATAGAAGCTGGTAAAATAGTAAACCCATTAAAACTGGTGTTCATATATTCAGAATTATGAGAACATGTGAGCCATACACAGAGGATTATAAGCATAGAGTTTCCAAATATCAATTTAATATACTTGACAGGTTAAAATACTTTAATATTGGCTATAAAACTAAGAAGCTGATACTGCTTACTCTTTAGATTTAATACTTCTTGCTTTTTTAGATATTTAATGAGGCTGTACTGACATCTGAAGTTATTCTTATAACACTGCGTATGACCTGTAAGTACCAAGACTGTAAAGAGTAACTCAGTGATAGTTGTGGTCAGATAAGCCACTCCTAAACAAGGATTACATGCCAAACACCAGCAAGAAGAAAAAGTAAAAGTAATATGAACCCAAACATATAATCCATCTATGCCTTACCAGGAATCACTGTACTGGAATAAAAACATATATGAAAATAAAATGAAAATTCATTAGGTATACCAGATAGTTTTGATTACTTTATTTCATGTACAGATGTACCAAGAGGACGTAAAATAAAATTCCTCTAGTTTCACAGTTTCAAATCTTGAATTTTACAGCCATAATAGGTATCAACATGTACCAACATGTTGATTCTGAGGTATAGTCAAAATCAGAGACTGATAAAATTAATCATGTTCTCCTCATGTCTGAGTATTATGTACGTGAACAGCTACTGTTACAGCTACTGATGTCTCATACAACACATATTACATTAAACAAAAATTCAAATTTTTCAAATTATTAAACCAATCACATTTAATTCTCAAATAAGTCAAATGTCTTGCCAGCAGTGTGGTTAATTAAAATCAAATTACCTTCAAGTGCAACAAATCCTGTAACTAGAGTGTGTGGAAATTTAAAAGGAACTTACATACAGTTATGACATTTAACATAATTACACCCTTTCATGAGAAGTGCTGTTCCCAAATACTAAAATAATTGTGTATGTATTTTTGTATAAGATAGACTGCATCAGCAGGCCAACTCCTCCATCTAAAATACTGTTGCCAATAATGCACTCATATCCAGTCAATGAGGTAATGAACGCCATTACTAATCCACTTGGATGTAGCTCACAAATATAAAACATAACCAAAGTTTAAAGTTGTGAGGTGCAAGATTCAATAAAGCGCCCCAAAAATATTGTTAAGACTTGCAGATATCATTGAATTGGTTCATACACCAACCCAACGTGAGATGAAGATGGCAAAACAAGGCACCAGAAGGGCGGACATTATGGTGACAGAGTGATGACTCGATCCATTACACAGGTCAGTTTCACAGGTTTCGCAGAATTCTACCTTCCCCTGGCCCTTTAACAAGTTAGACATAGAATCTGTCATGGCGCAAGGATCAACAGATTCACTCCTTGCAACTGAGCAACTGCGAAATGTAACTCTGTTTCCCGAGTGATCTGAAAAAAAGAATATACAGTGCATGGTGGAGGCATTTCAGATGTACATGTATCACTAAGGCTGGTTTTAGTGAGAATGGTTATCAGAATATGAGACATTGGAATTACTGGGTTTTTCGACTTTGTCCATTGTCCATTCTGGCATTGCTATGGGAAGCTCTGTATCACCCATCATTAGCAACATCTTCATGGTGCATTTTCAGAAATTAGCCCTTGACTCGGCACAATAAAATCATCGCTGTGGCTCTTACATGCTCATGACACAATTGTGGTCTAGCCTCATGTCTCAGAGCAGTTACAAAATATCGCCAGCCACCTCATCAGTTTATTAAGTAAATAGAGTCAGAGAGTGTAAATCCTTTTCTGGATGTTCTGGTCAACAGAAAAGGGACAACACCGGCCACTAAAGTTTCCAGAAAAAATAACCACACTGGCCAATATCCCAACTTCAAAACTAACCATCCATCATATGTGAAAGGTGCATGGTTCCCATCGTTCTTCCCGGGACAGTCCCATTTGTTCATATAATGTCTCGCTGTCCCGAATTTATTTCAAATGTCCCGCTTTTTAAATACCCTTCTGTAATATTAATTTCTATCGATAACTGCTCGGTAATGGATGCTATTCTCTGAACTGGCATATCTATAACGACGTTAACACTCCTTGTGACTAATCCACAAAACACAACTTCACAAATTATTAGTTCCTCTGTTGGCTATATGTCTTTTTTCATTTATATTGCTAGTATCTTGATTTGCTTTCGTAACGGAAGTTCCGTCTGTGGCATTCTCTGTAATCTTTGCCGACCGCTAGTTGTGCTGTAACAGCCTGTGAGAATTTATCGGTTTTCATCCATATAGTGATGGCAAAACGCAAGTGCAGTATTAATGACAGTATTAAGAGCAAATATCCGTTTATTAAAGGCGTGGATGAGACTGCTGAATGCACGTCACGCAACGCGAAATTTTGCATTGCACATGGTGGATAGTCAGACGTCCTATGCATTGGTTTTCATGGAATCTGTTGGCTAGGTTTATTGCATAAAATTTACACTTCCTTTTCTATATGTTTCAGGCCTGTGCATGCTTTATCGTAACTTCGCATATTTTCCCAGTTATCTCGCACTGATCTCAGTTACTTATGTAGCTGTAGCTATACTGACATAAGCTGCCGAGTGATTAACGTTAATTCTTTCTAAGAGACTCAACGCAGTGTTCCCCCCCTCTCCTGGGGACAGAAACAGGCCTGGTTTCAGAAACGTCGTGTTGTTTTTTTATTGCCGGATCATGTCGAAAGTCCAAAAACCCAGTAATTCCAAATATCACACACTATCGTCAGAACCCTTTAGAATAAACTAATATGAGAAATGTAAGTTTTGAGTATTATATTTAAGCATCCTGTTGCACTCTACACGATAAATGATACAAACTCCGTCCCAAGTGCAAACAATATATGGCAATATGTGGCAGCAACGTAAGAGTATACACCTGATGATGGCCGTTAGAGGCCGAAACATGTAGTGTAGAAGAGAACAAGATCAAAGACATATAATATATATTGTTTGCACTTTGGACGGAGTTTGTATAATTTAACGTAAGTTTTGAGGTTTTCACGGCGATGACTATGAAGAAAGTCGTCTTCTGGGATCTGGCGCCGTGTATTCTTGGTTTTCACCGACGTATCGCCTCCATCTTCAGGGCAATTGCAGCTACTGTATTCGCAAAGCGATTCACCTGCCCTGAAGATGGAGGCGATACGTTCCTCCGAAACGTCGGTGAAAACCAAGAATACACGGCGCCACATCCCAGAAGACCACTTTCTTAATATGAGAAATGTTTCTAATTATAAAAGATTGTGCCAGAACTCACTTTAGGTATATTACACAATGTACAAATTTGTTACAAATATGCATATACAAATACATTAATTTTCTTCAAATTGTCATTAAAATAAAAGTAATAATAATTCAATTAAATTGAATTTTTTGTGAGCTAAGTGGACAGCTACAGGAGCCAATTACAGAGTCAGCACAATCAAACAAAAAAATGGAGGAAATATTAGAGTTGTTAGGCAAATACACATAAGGTATTACACTGCACAGGAGAGGCAGGACAAGAATCGCTTTACAGTAACAATGTATGGTAAACATGCATGTATTAAATTGAGAAAGACAGATGGTACAGAATTCGTTGTGGTGGTGGTCGTAACTCAATTCTTTACTTTTAAATAATAATTCATTCAATTCGTGTTTATTTACGTGCAAACTTAACAGCACAGAGGCCAATTACAAAGTTAGTACGCGTAGATAGAAATACAACAACAACAACAACAACAA